CCCCCCCCCCCAGCTTATACTCTCTTTCTCTCAAAAATAAATAAACATTTTAAAAAAAGAAAAAAAGAAAGAAAAATGTTGGAATTTACAAGATAGAAATGAATAAACACAGCTTTTCCTGATGTAGTTGAAATACTGTGTGAATTCCTGGACAACATCCCGTTGGCATCCTAGACTAGACAATATCGGGTTCCATAAGACAATTTCTTACGAGCATCTATCAGTTTCCTAGCTCTACCACAACGAAATACCACAGACTGGCTATCTTCAACAACAGAAATTAATTTTCTTACAGTTCTGGAGGCTAGAAGTCCAAGACTAAAATGTCAGCAGCTTTGGTTTCTTCTGAGGCCTCTCTCCTTGGCTCACAGATGGCCGCCTTCATATGGTCATCCCTCTGTGCACATGTCCCTGGTCTCTCTTTGTCCAAATTCCTTATAAGGACACCAGGCAGGTTGGATTAGGGCCCATTTTAATTTAATCACCTTTAAAGGCCTTATGTTCAAGCACAGTCACATTCTGAGGTACTAGGGGTTAGGTTTTGAATATATGAATGTTGTGTGTGGGAGGACGCAGTTCATTCCCTACTAACAGCGTCCCTTGGTAGAGGGCCAAGGCTTCATTCCATTAATACTAGTAAACGAGGGACCATAGCAAAGTGGTCCAAGCATGCAGATTTCTGAGATCTTCCTCTGTCCAAGGATAAGGAGATTGGGGATATGTAAGGAGACTCAGTAAATATACATTCATCATGGCCCATGAATATTTTTGTTATCAAAGTATCTGCTAAGAATTGATCTTTAGGAGCCTTACCTAAGCCACAGGACCCTGTTTTGCTTGAATAACACCTGGTGTCTACAGCCCCACACTATTTCTGGCCCCTAAAGCCCTCATGGGCCACATAAACCTTAGGTAGGGTGCCAAACTCTATACATGAAGATCTACCTTTTAAGTAAAAGATCAGGAAGGAGTACATAAGACTTTATCTTTGTATTTGCTTATAGATTGTACAGACCATCTGGAAGAAACTGAATTCAGTGGTTATTTCTGCAAGGGGAGGTGGGAACTGGGTGGGCAGGACAAGAATGGGAATGAGACTTTACACTGTATCTTTTTCTTTTTTTGTTTTAATGTTATTTATTTTTGAGAGAGAGAGAGAACAGGTAGGGCAAAAAAAAAAAAAGGGGGCGTGGAGTGGAGATAGAGAATTCCAAGCAGGCTCCATGCTGCCAACACAGAGCCCGATGAGGGGCTTAAACTCATGAACTGTGAGATCATGACCCCAAATCAAGAGTGGGACATTTAACTAACTGAGCTACCCAGGTGCCCCTGCCTTGTATCTTTTCTTCGTACAGAGAATACATTTTCCTTTTTGGGCCTCAAGTACACAGAATTGGATTGATTATAATCCCTGGCTCATAACATACTCTCATCTTTGATCTGTGCACAATTACCTTTTGTTTTATTTATATATGCATGCTTTTAATAACATAAAGAATTCACGTGACCCCACCACCTAACCTGAAAATTAGAACATCACCAATACTATATCACCCCGTGTATTCCTAATCCTACCCTCCTCTTCCCTTCAGAAGTGACCACTACCCTGATTTTTTTTTTTTTTAATCTTAAATAGGCTTCACGCCCATCATGGGGCTTGAACTCACAACCTTGAGATCAAGAGTCACATGTTCTACCAACTGAGCCAGCCAGGTGCCCCCACTATCCTGATTTTTTAAATATTAGTTATATCCACCTCTTTTTTTCCCCCATCCACTTTTCTAAACCTGCATTATTTCAAATGATCTATCTTTAGGCTCTTTGGGGTTTTTCACATAGATGTCATATCATCTGCCCTTGGGGATTTTGAAACATTTGACGGCACTATCCGCTCAAAAATTAACATAGAATGTTTATAATCTCAGGATTGTTTATTCATACTTCACGGACATTGATGAGAAAGGAGGCTAACAAAGCATGGGAGACACAGTAGCTCTTAACTCCAAGTCCTGATGCTAGATAGATAGCCTCCATGGCTATCACATACCATCCTTGCCTGTCTGGTCCCTCTAGGCACTGGGATCCCCGGATACTACACTGCAGAGGATGTGAGAATACCAATCTACTGTAATCTGATGTGGTGTAAAGGTCACCAGGATGATGTTTCTGAGATAACAGGTGTGTCTGCTCTCCTTCCCTTGGCATGTAGCCTTCACCATCAACTACATCCACATGAATATCCTGCCAGGACTGGAGGTGCAAAATGGGGAGAACCTGACCCTGCAGTGCGTCGTGGACATCAGCACCACCTCCCATGTCAAGCCTCAGCACTGGGTGCTGTTCTATAAGGATGATGTGCTGTTTCACAACGTCTCCTCCATGAAGAACACGGAGAGTTATTTTATTCCCCAAGCCCGGGTCTGTGATGCAGGGACATATAAATGCACCGTGATTCTGAACAACAAGGAGAAAACCACATCGGAGTACCAGGTGTGGGTGAAAGGTGAGTCCCTGCGTTTGAACGTAGCTCAAGTGGTTGCAGCATAGTGCACGCGGTAGCAGAATAGAAATTGAATGGAGGGTAACACTGGACCTACCTGCCCGTCCGTCACCCTTGTCACTCCTCTGCCTGGCATTTTCCTAACCTGCAAATGTACGCATTAGACATGCTCCCAATACGCCAGGCTGTTTCTCACCTCCTTGCCTTTGCATACACTATATTCCCTCTCCTGGGAATACCCTTCTTCATCTTCTCCCTCCTTCAAGACTCAACTCAATCATCTCTTCTCTGACACTTTCCCAAGCAAAACCAATCTCCCCCAGGGTCCCGGTCCTTACAGCTCTTATGCAATCTGGACATTCCGTGGCATTTGTATAAAGGCCACAGGCCGAGTGTTCACACTGGATTCTGCAGTCGTTCTGCCTGGAGCCCAGTTTGGGCAAGTCCCTTAGCCTCTGTAAACTTTAAAATTCTCATCAGTGAAATGAAGATAATAATAATACCCAGCTCAGGGAGTGATTGCAAGGATTAAAAGATACCTTCTAGATAAAGTGCTTAGTATAATTTCCAACACATAATTAAGTTCCCCCCAAATGGCAATTACTGTTTCACTCAATTGCAAATGCTTCTCTCACACCTGTCTGCTCTACTGTGAGATTCCCAAGGAAAGAGATGGTGTTCGGTCCGTTTTTGTATTTCAAACAAAGAATCCGGCTTATAGTAGGCACTCAGTAAATGATTGTGGAATAAATTAGGCAGATGAAAAAGGGGAAGTAGAAATGGATAGAAATGTAGAAGTGGGAGGGAAATCATGAGAAATTTGGGTTCTGAGATATAGGATTCCATCCAGTCACTCATTGCTTTACTCCCTCAAGAAGCATTTCCCAAGGCTGCAAGTCAGGAACAAAAACCAGGTGCCAGACATGAAAATGTGTCAAGTCGAGTCCAGCTCTGGTGGCGGTCACTGTCTGGTGGGGAAGAGAGACATTAAAAAAATAATTACGGTCTAGTGGTCATATGATCTGAGGGCCTTGGGAGCACAAAGATGAGAGGCAACAATTCTTCCTAGAGAAGTTAGGGATGGCTTCCTGGAGGAAGGGACTTTGAGTCCAGATACAGAAGATCATGGAGGAGTTTGCTTGATGGTGAAATGGAGCAAGGGCAGAGAAATGGAAATGTCACATGAATGGAAGAGCAGAGGCCGAGAAAGAGAAGAGTATCCCAATAGAGTTGCTCTTCAGTGAAATACCCCAACCTTTGGAGTCTTCATTTCCTGTCTTTAAAATAGAGATCACTAGGTAGCAACATGTACCCTTGAAGGTTGTTTTGTTTTGAGGATTAAATGTGATGGCATCGAAGTGTGCTTAGTAACCAAGTATTGAATGAATGAATGAATGCCCATCATGTGTGAGGGGTTCAGCTGGGCCATCCTTAGAAAGGGATAACCCTTTCAGCATATAGAAAGCAGGAAGAACCAGCAGGTAAGAGTTCAAGGGCATTTTCCTTTCATGAGCATACAATCTCTGGCCACATTTTTGGTCAGGCCTTTAGGCTTACTTGGGAGACTATGACATCACCCTCCCCCAGGCCAATTCCCCCATGGGTATCCTTTGGACAGTCAGGGACATGGCTGGCTAGACATCCCTCAGAGTCGCCAGGGGCAACAGCCACAGGGATGCAGAGCAGCCCTTCTCGTCTCCACTGAGGACAGGGCCTTGCCGGCCAACAGCTCCCAGCACTGACTTTAGTGGTAAGGAAAGATTGACAGGCTGAATTTGGGCAATGTCTGTTGAAAAGAAATGTGCTGGCAGGCTTTAGAAACTTAGGGTGATTTTTCTTAAAACTTGGATGGTTTAATGGATTGTTAGTGAATTGAACCCTGTGCTTCCTTGACAGCGACTGCCATAACGGTCGTTTCTGCATTTTGTGTGCTCACTTTTGTCATCAGAATAGTCATTCACTCTATTGTTACTTCCAATGATAAGAACTGTCACCTATCAGACCCTCATGGGGTAAACGGTTATAAGTGCTTCACACACGTCATTTAAGCCCTGCAATAGCACTGAGAGCTAAATGTGACCCTTTCCAGGTGCAGACACAGGCCCAGAGAGGCTGAATGGCATGTTCATGCCTTGAAGTTCCTCAGAGGCAAAGCTGGTTAGAACCAAGATCTCGTTGACTCCAAAGCTGGCCTCTCTAACTCTTAATTACTATTCAGGTCTTTGAGGTAGACCAGAGGCCATTCATTCATTCATTCATTCACTCAACATGTATTGAGTCCCACTCTGGGCTAGGCTGAGGAACCAACAATGAGTAAGATGTGATCCCTTCCCTTGGGGAGATCAGTGTGAAGCAGGGGAACACCTTTGTAAACAGCTGCCACCACAGGTGAAAACAGCGGTACGAATACAGTATAGGTCACCTTCCCAAGAGGACAGCCCATGATGTCCGAACTGGGTGCGTTGAAACAAAGATTCAGAAGAGTCATAAGCAACTAGGTGAAGTGGCAAGGTTTAGGATACCAGCTAGTCTGTCTGACTCTTGAGGTGGACCTCATGACCACCAGACCACGGAGCCTGGACAAGACATCTAGTCTCAGCTAGACCATCCTAGCTCCCCCTCATCTGACCCTGGCTCACCACCTACTGTACCTCTCCCCGCGCCCCTTTCTTTTTTCTAGATGGCCCTCCCGAAAAGTCCATCGTATTCCTTGACACAAGCAGTCCCTGTGCACACGCACCCTGAAATCCCTGTCTTTAACCCCCAACCTCATCTGTTCTTAGCCCCCACCTCATCTGTTCTTAGCCCCCACCTCATCTGTCCAAATAACAAATAGCCCCCACCTCATCTGTCCAAATAACAAATAACACCCTTCCTCCAAGATTACTCTCAGGCACTATTCCCTTCTAGAATCTTCTCTGATCCCTCAGGCAAAGAGGGCCTCCTTTTTTCCTGACTGCTTCATCACTCATTATCTCTACCACACATTCTAATGCTTAGTTATTTTCAGCTTCACTTTGTGAACCAGGAGGTGAAGTGTCCTTCCTCTCTCCCACCTCCCACCCCAACTCCTGGCTTTGGAGTTAGACAGACCTGGAATCGAATCTCGGTTCTGCAACTTGCTGGCAAGGAGCTTTTGGATGAAACTTGGACCTCACTGAGCTTCACCTTCTTCAAAATAGGCATACTTTTATCTTTCATGTCCACCCTGGAGATTTATTATGAGAATTACATGGGGTCATGGATAAAAAGTCTATCCTAGGTTGTGGTTGACAGTCAATAAATTATAACACCAACCACAGTAATGCCTATAGATATGGCTGTTTTGTTTTAATTATATCAGTTGGCAAGACTTGTCTCCCCAGTGGGATTGTAAACTTTGAAAGCACCAACTACATCTGAAACATATTTTATATTTTTCAAAGTAGCTGGTATAGCTCTGGGAACATACTTGCTCAGTAATCACCTGGTAGGTAGCCCTGGGGTTCTGGGAACAAAAGAGAAGACTCTCAGATGGGTCAATCACAGTGGTGCAGCCGAGGTAAGCTTGAATCACTAGATCAAACTGATACTAATGGACTTTCTCTTCCCCCAAAGGAGTGTCCGATCCCAGAGTGACACTGGACAAGAAAGAGGCAATAGAAGGCGGGGTCGTGACGGTCAATTGTTCGGTCCCAGAGGAAAATCCCCCAATATACTTCACAATTGAAAAACTCAAGCTAGATGCAAAAGGTTTCAAGCAAAAAAGAGAAAAAGTTTCTCAGAACCAGAATTTTATGGTGATGGAATTCACAGTGGAGGAACAGGACCATGTCATATTGTTCCAATGTCAAGCCAGGATCTTTTCTGGGACCAATGTGGAGATCTCTAAAGCCATCAAGAGTGAACTGGTCACCGTGACGGGTCAGAGTCCTACTCTCTCCTTTTCATCACTCTCTGGTTTGCTGGTTGGGATGGGGAGAAAGCCCAGAAATTGGAAAGGGGCTGGGGCCTTCTGACTGGGCTGCTGTTTTCAAGACTGTTCTTAACCACTTACAAGCCATGCTTTTCAAACTTTTTGACTGCGATATAGTTCAAAAAATTGTGTGTGTGTGTGTGTGTGTGTGTGTGTGTGTGTGTGTGTGTGCAAAATTTCCCAAGCAAAAGTTTCACAACTAATCCTTAATGTATGGAGCATTTTGCTATTTTCTATTCTATTCTATTTTGTTTTTTTTTAAAACACTGACCTTG